AATGAGGTGACTTCGAATATCCATTCTCAATCCGTTTCCGGCATCGGTTTATCTTACAGTATCTCCATTCATATAGTATAAAGGGATAACAAAGAGTAAGTTTTTGCTTGAAATTACGATGTATTTTTATTTTTAACATGAGCAAAGGCTCGAAAGGGATGCTGGTGGACCATATCTCTTTAAAATTACAAAAGGTTTGTTGTGTGTCTCATCTTCATCTCAATCAGCGGGAAAAAAAATTAATCTTATATCACAATATGTGCTTTTCAACCCTTGACATAACTTTTATGATTGAGAGCTGTAAAATTAAATTATCTTTCTCAAAACAACACTCTCAAGGCTGGTTTGTGTTCGGTTCTGAATCCTACATTTTACAGTTCCAAGCGCCATCGTGAAAGGTAACCAAGCCTTTGCATCAACGCGAGACAGAGCCTATCTATCATTGCAAGCTTAATTTCTGTCTTGCTTTGATGCGGCTACCTCTCAAAATGGCGCTTGCAACTCAGTTAAATGGAGTATTGATCGATCAGGAGGAGCCGACGGGATCTTCTCTTAAATAACTGTTCAGTCTTGTACGCATGTTTTTTTTTTTCCTGGGAAAGGGATTTTTAGCTACATTGTTGACAATCTCACAAGCAAATGTGGCGCCCTTCCTTCTTTAATATAATTTTGTTCCTGGCAAACGTTTTTAATGGTCCAAAAAGTCTCATATTTTTGTTAGTTAGGAAAGTTTTATTTTCATGGCAAAAATTACTTGCCTGGAGAGTTCTTTTTTCCTGAATTTTTTTCGCTGCCTAAGCGCCATCTTAAAAGTTGAGCCTGCAGTCATGGCAGTGATACCTTCCTAAGACAGTTCACAGGTATTTGCATTGCAATCTTAAGTCTTGTCTTGTTTAATCAGCAAGGACTCCTTTCAAGCAGTGATGGTCTGATTATATGAAGCACGCTTGACTGCGGGCTGATTTTCGTATTTTTTGGTGTCCACCGCTACGGGAAAGAAAAAAAGCCCGTTGAACCAGCCCTTAGACTCGCTAACTGTACAACGTGTACCAGTCGAAGATAGATATATCAGATATATTGAACTTGCGCTATGTAGCGTGCTGCATTTTTTCTAGTTATTTAATATCAAATTGACTGTATGCACTTCTGTAAAATCAACACTGGAGTAGTATATGTGGGTCGGAACTAGCAATATATGGGGAATATGAGCGATATCAAGGGAGAGATCTAGCTGATTCCTTGAAAAAAGAAGCAGCCAATCAGCGCGAACACGCTCACTTGATTTTATAACACATAAACCGAGAGGAAAAAATTGTCTAAAAAAACAAGACCTACTAAGTCAGGGTAAAATGCGTTTTTGTTTTTGTTTTTGTAACGTCTTTGTGTTCCCTGAAGATGACCGCTTAGGTCGAAAGCTTGGAAAAAGTTTAAAATCATTCATGGTTGATTAAACAAACTACGTATAAATATGAAAAATACAACCAACAAAGATCTTTTAAAAAAGGGTAAAAGCTGTATTTTCGATTATCGGCTAATGAAATTGTAATAAAACTCTCGAATACTGACTACGAATGCCATGGTTAAAAGTCTCAAATTAAATCGACAGGTTTCCAAATATCACCTGCATTCATTTGGTTAATTTTTTAATACATCGTCTTGGGCAGCCTGTGGTGGTTTGTCACGCTCTTCTCGCTTTGCGTGATCGCTTCATGCATGACGTACAAGTCACGTGAAGATTCTCACACAGTTCTCGGAATTCAGGATTCTTAGGTCTCATACTCTGCCATCATCTCTATTTATTCTTTTTCACTTCAAATGTTGCTTTTATTTTCTTCAANTTAGATTTTTCATATATGGAAAATGAGGTGACTTCGAATATCCATTCTCAATCCGTTTCCGGCATCGGTTTATCTTACAGTATCTCCATTCATATAGTATGAAGGGATAATAAAGAGTACGTTTTTGCTTGAAATTACGATGTATTTTTATTTTTAACATGAGCAAAGGCTCGAAAGGGATGCTGGTGGACCATGTCTCTTTAAAATTACAAAATGTTTGTGATGTGTCTCATCTTCATCTCAATAAGCGGACAAAAAAAAAGAATCTTATATCACATTATGTGCTTTTCAACCCCTAACATCCCAAAACTTTTATGATTGAGAGCTGTAAAATTTGAATTATCTTTCTCAAAACAACACTCTCAATGCTGGTTTGTGTTCGGTTCTGAATCCTACATTTTACAGTTCCAAGCGGCATCTTGAAAGGTAACCAAGCCTTTGCATCAAAGCGAGACGGAGCCTATCTATCATTGCAAGCTTAATTTCTGTCTCGCTTTGATGCGGCTACCTCTCAAGATGGCGCTTGCAACTCAGTTAAATGGAGTATTGATCGATCAGGAGGAGCCGACGGGATGTTCTCTTAAATGACTGTTCAGTCTTGTACGGTTTTTTTCCTGGGAAAGGGATTTTTAGCTACATTGTTGACAATCGCACAAGCAAATGTGGCGCCCTTCCTTCTTTAATAATTTTTAATGGTCCAAAACGTCTCATATTTTTGTTAGTTAGGAAAGTTTTATTTTCCTGGCAAAAATTACTTGCCTTTCTCGCTCCGCCCCAAACCCCTTCGAGAGAGCCTGATACTCAGGCTATTAGACTCGCTAACTGTACAGCATATCAGTCGAAGATAGATATATTGAACTTGCGCTTTGTAGCGTGCTGCATTTTTTCTAGTTATTTAATATATCAAACTGACTGTATGCACTTCTGTAAAGTCAACACTGGAGTAGTATATGTGGGTCGGAACTAGCATTCTATTTGTCCTAAGCTATTTTGAATTTCCTCTCAAAGGGGGAATATGAGCGATATCAAGGAGAGATCTAGCTGATTCCTTGAAAAAAGAAGCAGCCAATCAGCGCGAACACGCTCACTTGATTTAATAACACATAACCGAGAGGAAAAATTGTCTAGTACAAAAACAAGACCTACTAAGTCAGGGTAAAAGCTGTCTTTTCGATTATCGGCCAATGAGATTATAATAAAAATATCGAATACTGACTACGAATGCCATGGTTAAAAGTCTCAAATTAAATCGACAGGTTTCCAAATATCGCCCGCATTCATTTGGTTAATTTTTTATTACATCGTCTTGGGCAGCCTGTGGTGGTTTGTCACGCTCTTCTCGCTTTGCGTTATCGCTTCATGCATGACGTACAAGTCACGTGAAGATTCTCACACAGTTCTCGGAATTCAGGATTCTTTAGGTCTTTTACTCTGCCATCATCTCTATTTATTCTTTTTCACTTCAAATGTTGCTTTTATTTTCTTCAAATGGCTAGACATTGAAGAGTCTGTCAGGTCTAAAATGCAATGAAAAGCTAGTAGCATGTCCTTGTTAGGATGCCGAGTAGTTCGCGGTCCAGATTGGAAGTGGTCTGAMCAAGATGGTGGCGAAGGCTGTGTGGGCACTATTGTAAGTCTTGAAAATTTCGCTGATGGACGAAAACTGCCTACGAAAACTGCTCTGGTGTGTTGGGATACTGGCGGTGTTGCAGACTATCGAATTGGTTTGAATGGATGCTACGAYCTACGGGTCTTTGACTCGGCATCWGCAGGTAAACTAGATTTTGAAGTTTGTTCAACTCAATGTAAGTTAATAGTTGTATGACAGGTAAGCTTATAACATAATCTCACTTTAGCTTGGATAAACTTATACTTAAATGCATATCCTAGATTTTAAAAGGAATAAATATCTAAGAAAGTTTCCTTCGTATATTTTGAAACGATTGTGTACACTTAAGTTTATCCTCTTTTTTTATGAAGAATATTTGTGTGGAATTTGAATGACCATCGTTTTGATTCAATTAAAAATTGTGTGGTCAATTTGAAAATCACTTGATGTATTGAGTTTTTCTTCGCATTAAAGTTTACAATTTCTATCAACAAGGACAAAAATAACCTCAGATTTGAATGTCCTTGATTGATTGTTTGTCATGGTCATTACAATTYATTTTACGTGAATTAGCATTCACTTCCGGCTTTTAAAACAACACGACTGTTAAGTCAAAAGTAAATTTTAAGTGATTCCTTAAGCACTATTAAATTAGTGACTAAATTCTACTAATTCACTTTTGATTGAAAAATATAAGTCACTGAACTCAGGTGTATATTTGACATTATTCTTATTTATTTTTCTATTTATTATTATATAATGTTTGATATTGACCAATCAATYACCTGAAGTCTCCTTCAAATGTCAATTACTATTGCTAAATTTATAAATTACAGTAATTTTACCATAATATATACAGTATGCTCTTCTTTGATTCATCTAATGATTAAATAACAACCAAATATGGAAAGGATCAAAAGCTACGATGCACAATCAGGACTTCCTGTACATGTAGTACTTGTCATTTTGTTTGGATAATATACTGCATGGGCATATGAGAATGAATGATGACTTTTGAATCAGTGTTGAGATTTTGCTGTGYAGTGTTCAGGGTTATTTATGACCCATGATCGAGTAATGAGATCTTAATCTATTGTTTTAATCCTTTTTAACTTTATGTTTTAATATTTGCTCCCCGTGGTATTGATGTTATAAACAGTGAATCACAAACTTTGATTAACTTTTTGCTGTTTTTTTTTTTTTTTTTTGCAATTTGGGAAAATGCGGATTTAGGTTTCTGTGATTTGGAATTTCTGATTTTATTTTTTTGTGATTTGTGGGACAAAACCCCAACTGGATGCCCTGCAGCTGATGACTGTCTTAGCTGAGTCATCTACTGTCGGCTGCCCAATAGAAGTATTATAATATTTTTGGTATATGATTAGTCAGCACAAGATGTTCGAATGCATTGTGCCTAAGTTGAAATATAATATTTTGTAGTATCTTAGTTAATGACTCATAACTTGAAAATTGTCAAGCTAGGATTAGTCAAGGGGCTCTAATTTTATGCAATAGTCCACTTTGCGGATAATTCGAAATTTTACATTACGTCATTATGGTAAATCATTGACATCACTGGAAAGAGCGTCATAAAATCAGCAAATTTGCCAAGTTTGAAAATAATCTGATTTAAATTCAAAGAGATACGGCACTTCAAAAACACTAAATTTTGCATAGAAATGTTTGGCCAGGTTGTAACAAGTCAAGGTCAACCTCGGTCGCATGCCGACAGCCATACATTCCTTTGTAAATTTTGCCGACTTTTAAACGCTGTTTCTCCTTGACTTTTCATTGAATCATGCTCAAACCTGGTAAACATACTAATTTCATACTGTTCTTTCCAGTGGTGGTAATAGTTTTTCGATATTTGCTCAATTTCTAATAGCTGTGTTATCCGCGAAGTGGACTATTATGATGATGTCAAAATTATGGGATATGAGTATGCCAAAATTATGGGATGTCTGGGAGTTTTCATTGAAATATCTTGGCTGTAATTATAGGTGTTTCATCTCCTGCTTTTACCTGTGATGGCTGCTCRCAGTCCAACATTGCTGGCACTCGTTGGCATTGCACTGAGTGCTTTGACTTTGATCTTTGCAAAGTATGTTACATGAATGATGTTCATGATAAAGATCATGTGTTTGAGAGATTTCACAAATCAAATGATCGAACCAATGGGTAGGTAGTACAGTAAAGTATAAGTCATGTTGTGAATGTACAGTTTATAAACGAGAATAAAGTCAGCTTTGATAATTATAGTATGTGAAATTATCAAACTATATCAATTTTTTGATTATAGGACCAAAGTCACTCCCCGCTCTAAAGCAACAAWAATTCGTGCCAAGGGTCTTTTTCCTGGAAGTCAGGTCAAGCGGGGGCGAGACTGGAGTTTCGATAGTGAATTAGGCAATATGACTGGTCATGTCGTTGGTGTTACGGCATGGGAGAATGTACCTAGAAGTGCTGTCATTGTGAAGTGGGGCATGTCACTAGAAACCCCACATAGAGTTGGATACCAGGGCAAAGTGAGTGTGTCATTGATATTATTATCCATCAAACTATGGGCTATAATGAACCCAAGCATTCAGCAAACTATCTGTCCTGCACTGCTAACTCACAACATTAGCAACAACTATATAGTGATGACAATAGCAACATCAACTGTTAAACTTTCAAAAACTCATACATAATTAATGAGTTATAGGCCAATAGAATGAGTCTATTTGGTCACATTCATGGACCTTTATATCAGATAAAACACTCCTTATTAGTATTCTTTATGTAAAGAATACTAATAAGGGTGACCTTTATCAGAATAGATATAAAGGTCCGTGACCCTGGCAAAGGTCTCAGGTTTGATACCTGATCATTGACCAATGAAGTATGTCAACCAATTGCAGTATTAAACAGCCAACAGCGGATCTATTTTACTTTATATGTATTCAATGTGGGATGACAAGAGTGCTTTGTAAAGTGATTTGCACATAATCAGTTTGCCCAATTTATCTCAAAATTTATTTTTACGGCAATGTATCCAAGAATTTTAACGTATTTGAGTTTCAAATTAGTGTTGGAGTTTTTGAAGCTGTTTAAAACACACTCTCTCATGTTTTAAACTATGCATGATAATTAGTAATATCAGGTAAGTGCTGCTTATGTACTATGAGTACTAGTGCTACTGTTTCTGAATTAGATACATTTAACTGGTGAAACAAATAGTACTTTTTACTACTAAATAGTACGCATGACACCACTATAGGTAATTATAACAAAATTATCATAATTTAGTTGTACTCTAGAAGTAGTATTAAAGTTCAATAGACTATGAAGCGTCTCTGCTAGTTACACATGTTATTATGTAACTTCA